AGCCTTTAAACCTCGTAGGAGGGAAAGGACGGAGCTGTTTGCTGCTCTCTGAAGAGACTTCCACACCAAGCAGCAGGTCATACACAGGCCTTCAGAGGCAGGACGTGTTTGCACGAGAGCTTTGCGCAGCAGGCTGCCACCCGGGCGGGTCCTAGACGGGACGTCCCATTTGTCCTGCTCCTCCCCGCACTCTGCAACTTCGAGCTGGTCCTCCCCACCTCCAGTATTTCTCTGTGCGCCTTGCTTTCTTCTTCAGAGAGGTTTAAAAAATAACCCCGCCCTTGGGGGAAACAAGCACATCTCTCCCAAAGGAGAGGTCTCATTTATAGCTGGGGTGTGTCCCAGGACACGCAGGCCTCCGCAGGAGCCCAGGGACTCCACTCAGCAGCGCTTGTCTGCAGGAGGAAGCCAGGCCTGTAAACGGAAAGCCCTCCCTCCACAAATGTCAGGGATAGAATCATTTGCTTCACATGGCCCTGGATCATTGAGCCATGCCGTGTCCAGTGGCATGCACCCAACAGTAGAGTGACCAGACTTAACATGGGCATCACACACAAAAAAAGAAATTTTTTTTCTTGTAGACCCTCTTTAATGCAGCCACCACAGAAATGGCCCCAGTGGTCCCGAACCACCACAAAGGGGAAATGAGAGCAATAGATGGGTCTTGAAGCTCAGCTGGTTTAGAAGAACCGGTGTAAAATACCAGAGGCTTTAAAAACATGTTTAAGAAAGCCTGCAGCAGGATCTTTTCAGAAGGCCCTGTCCACACAGGTACAAGGAAATGCCGCCTCTTTCTGTGTGACTTGAGGCGTGATGCTGACCAAGAGTTACGTGTGTGACAACCAATGGTAGAGCACACAGAGGTTCCTACCTGAGCAGGGCACATTCCCAAGCCAGGCTGGTGACGGAAAGACTTGCTGTTGGCTTTGGGAGATGGAGTAGCCTGGGCTGTGGGAAGAGGCCGGGGACACGCTGTCCTGGATGCTATCCCTTTGCCAGACTTTGCCTTCCTTATTTCTGGGCCTCACCCTGGGCAGCTAAGGTCAGCAGCCCATCCTATGACATCTTTGGATCCAGACACTGAGCTCAGCTCTGAGAAGTTCTTGCTATTTTTGTTGTGTTTGTGTGTTTTTAAAACTCTGAAATGCCTCACCCACTGTCCACAGAAGATCATCAGGATGCTCTCCGTCCTGCCCACGCCCGGATTTAGAACAGTTCATGGGGACGACTTCTTAGTATTTAAAAAGTTGAGAACAGAATGTAAACAGAAAAAGGATAAATCTTTCTCTTGCTGACCAAGAATTTTTCTTTACCTGAACTTTTTTTAAAAGTTAGTCTGGTTCAGAAATACAAAGAAGTGATTCCTGTCAGCAAAGCAGATCATGTAGGACCTCTGCCAAGACGGTAGAGGCATGAGCTGCCTTTCTGTTTGCTGAAGTAGAGTTCTGTGTGGTTCAACAGAGCATGAAATATGCAATCCTCCTGCCTCAGCCTCCAGAGCAATAGCATACAGACACATACACACCCGCACTGTATTTTTCAAGTGGCTTTCTTTGAGCTCCCTGGCAGGAGAGCCTCTCAGAGCCTTCAGCTTGGTGTCCTGTGTGGAGAAGGTGCTCAGACCCCCCCTTGTTTCTGGAAAGACATTGTGTAAGGGTTGGAGTTGACCTGTGTTAACTTTATAAGGGGTTATTTCGTAAGACAGGATAGGGAGAAGCCAGGCAGCTGTGAGTTTACGGGTTGGTTGCTTTTTTAATCTTAGTGCCATAGAAAGATGGCCTGGTGCTGTCATTTCTTTGGTACCCGCGCTTCAGTGGAGGGCTGGAGACGACACGCAGTAAGCCAGACAGCTTATCTGCCACCCTGTGCTGGAAAGTGAGGCGCTAACTCCTCAGTTTACACTAAGAGTGGTTGCCACTTCTTTTTTCCCTCAATATATGTTTTTATTTAAATTAGAAACAAGAATGCTTCACATGTCAATCCCAGCTCCCTCTCCCACCCCTCCTCCCTTGTCCCTCCACCAGCACCCCAGCCCCCCACCCAATCCCCACACCATTCCTCAGGGAGGGTGAGGCCCTCCTGGGGGGAGATCTCCAGAGTCTGTCATTTCATCCAGGGCAGGACCTAGGCCCTTCCCCATGTGTCGAGGCTGAGAGAGCATCCCTCCATGTGGAATGGGCTCCCAGAGTTCATTCATACACCATGGTGTACACTGATCTACTACCCAAGGCACCAGAGATTTCTGAGGCCTCCTCACTGCCACTACATTCATGGAGGTTGCCACTTCTTAATTCTTCCTGTGACCATAGCACAGGTATCTGTTTGTGGCTTGACCCTCCCTCTGGTAAGTAGAATTGCCGTTGTCGTTGTGAAGGTTGGGAGCAGAAATCTACTTCACTCCTACTGGGAATATTCACTACTGGGAATATCCTGAGAATGGGAAGGAAAAGACAGTTTTGTTCCTAACCTAGTAAGGCATTGTCCAAAGGGCAGACTCTTAGAAGTTCATCCAGCTTCCCCTCACCCCGCCTCTAGTGAGGACTTGATCAACCTCATCAGGAAGAGATATGTGCTTGAACAGAAGGATGAAGCGTTTAACTAATTATTCTTTATCAATAAGAAATGAGTCAGATATTGAGGTAAGACCCTGAAAGGTCAGAGAAAATGTGGAGAAGCCAGGAGTCATGACCTTGCTCTTCTGTGCCTTCCTTCAAGAGGGCTAAGAGCCTCTCAGCCCCACCTTACTGCTTCCTGCGCCTTTCTGCCCACAGTCCTCCAACCTCTATGGTTAATTTTGGTCAGCTCGTGGCTAGCTCCACACTCTGACTCAAAGCAAGCTTTATTTCAGAATGAAATCAAAATATCACATACTCTGCCCTATGTCTAATAAAAGGGAATGTTTTAACTAACATAGTAAAACTATGTACAGTAAGTATAATAACTACAAATATAGAGATAAGAGTTACATTAACAGTGTCTAGTCCATTTGCATTTGGCAAATTCAGGGAAAATACTCCATTATCTGTCCTATCTTGGTGAGTCTAAAGTTTGTACCTAATTCACTTTCTATCCTAACTTGCATAACCACCCCCAAACTACCTTTTTATATCTCTCAATCTTATAGTCATTATATCTCTTTTGTGAGTTTCTTTTCTGACTTTGGTAACAAAGAAAACTATAACTGTCTAGTCTTCAACTTCATCAGAGACCTGAGAAGGATATAACATTACCTGAGTAAACAGGAAGTGCAGAGCAAACAACTTACAAAAAGAGAAATGACAGAGACAGCTGGCTGCCTGAACAGTCACCCAAGGTTCCTCTGTAACATTGGGGCACCCATCTCCAGCCTACAGGCCTAGAATATCTGACAAACTTTTTTGAGAAGCAGGAATTTTGAAGGACTGTCCTACTTGTCTTTGCAAAGTTTGGTAGTCATTTCTTTTCTTTTTTTCCATCCTGCCTGTCCAGCTTTGACAGTCACTGTCAACAGTCAAGGCCAGGCAGTTTCTCTGCCCTCATAACTGCCTTTTTCCATAAGGAAAACAAACTCCATACAAAGTCTTTTCGATGCCCATCATCTTTGAAGTAGATCAGTACTGCCAGAAGCAGATGTGTCTCACTGTCACGAAAAGCCTTAGGTTACTAAACATATTAAATGCCATATTCTGTGGATCTTTACAGGGTTTGGGTTGGGGGGGTTGTTTGGGTTATTTTGCTTTTTGTTTTTTTGTATGTTTGAGACAGGGTTTCTCTGGCTTTGAAGGCTGTCCTGGAAAGAGCTCTTGTAGACCAGGCTGGTCTCGAACTCAAAGAGATCCACCTGCCTCTGCCTCCCAAGTGCTGGGATTAAAGATGTGCGCCACCAATGTCCAATGGCGTTTTGAAGACCATCTATCTAGCTAAATATATCTGTATATGACCTTGAAAACATACCTAACATGAATATAAATTTGACTATTATAGATGACTATTAATATGTATTTCTTAATTATACATCACATTTTGAAATGAGCTACATAAGCATAATACCCCAAACAAGACTAGAAACATACAGTATAACAACAATAACTTTAAATTTATATCAGTAAACTAAAATCCATACCAATGTAAAATATTTTGGGATTAATAGCTGTTTATATGGATTAAAGTAGATTCAGTAATCTACCCTTTTCCCCTGTTATTCCTGTGTCGTATCTCCCCTTTTCAGGAAAACTCGGTAGGCTTTAAGGAGAGGTTTGATCGATTTCACCTTAACCTCTGCCAAGACAATAGCCAGGATGCCAGTCTTGAATGAGATTTCTTTAAGAGCAAATGAAAAATTGTAGGTGCAGCACTTGCGGGGAGCCAAGTACAGAGGAGACAGCAAGATGTGACAGGGTTCCAGCCTCCTCCTCCTCCTGTTCCTCCTCCTCCTGTTCCTCCTCCTCCTCCTCCTCCCCCTCCTCTTCCTCCTCTTCCCTCACCACCACCACCACCCAAGGCTGGCAGCACTGGCAATGAAGAACAGGGAAGCATGAGGGAGACTCCCCACTAACTAGATGATCTGGCGTCAGTCTAAGTCAGGAAGGAGTAGAGTGAGAGACTGTGCTATCTTCAAAGACGTCTGTTTGCAGGAAAAGCCTAGAGGTGATCCAGGAGTCCTTGCCCATCCACTCCCAAGCAACTGAATTCTTGAAAGGAGTCAGGGGCTATAGAAAATGAGAAGGTGGCCAAGTTATCTCATAGTTCTGCTTATTTGATATACTTAAGAGAAGCTTAGTTCTCATCCTTCACCACTGATGGGATGATAGTCTAGAAAGCAGTACCCTGACTTTATGCATGATGCTACTGACAGTGAGTAGAAACGGAGACTTAAACACTTGACTCTCCTTGAACAAAAGTAGTTGAGCTAAAGATAGAACGTGAGCCCAGGAAACGTGTGTGGGTAGGTTGCACAGATGTTGGCACCAAGGAGATGTTGAGAGGGAGCCATGATGCAGTGTCTGTTTCTGTCTCTACAGTATGCTACCACGGGCTGTTCGCTGACTCTCCACCACACGGAGAAGCCAGAGCATGAAGACATCTGTGAATACCGTCCCTATTCCTGCCCCTGTCCTGGTGCCTCCTGCAAGTGGCAGGGACCCCTGGAAGCCGTGATGTCCCATCTCATGCATGCCCACAAGAGCATCACCACCCTTCAGGGAGAGGACATAGTCTTCCTAGCCACAGACATTAACCTGCCCGGGGCTGTAGACTGGGTGATGATGCAGTCCTGTTTCGGTCACCACTTCATGCTGGTGCTTGAGAAGCAGGAGAAGTTCGAAGGCCACCAGCAGTTCTTCGCCATTGTCCTCCTCATCGGCTCCCGCAAGCAAGCGGAGAACTTTGCCTACAGACTGGAGCTGAATGGCAACCGGCGGAGGCTGACCTGGGAAGCCACGCCCCGGTCCATTCACGATGGTGTGGCGGCGGCCATCTTGAACAGCGACTGTCTTGTTTTTGACACAGCCATAGCGCATCTCTTTGCAGACAATGGGAACCTTGGAATCAATGTAACAATTTCTACTTGCTGTCAGTGAAGTCCCAGGAGCCTTTCACAGCCCTGAGAAGTTATTTGGGCATAACGCTCTATGTTTAATAAAGGTTTTTTTTAATAGATGTTTTATTCATTATGTCTTCCCAAGTCAAGACCCACAGCTGTCCTGCGTTTTGCCTAAATAGCAGCTTCCTGTCTGGCGCTGACCAAACAAAGCTCACTGGACTGTGATAAGTGGGGCTGGCCTGTTAGTGATTGGGAGGCTGTCCTGTGATCTCAAATCAACTCTGCTCTATTGACTTCCTGAACGGCTCTCGGCAGATCTCAGGGCTGCCCTGCCTCCTCTCCCTGAGCTGACAGAAGCTGTGGCCTCCGTGAGATCCCTTTCGGGGAGGTAGGAATTGCTTTCACATCCTTCAGGCTGGGGTGGCTGGACAGTTTACACGGAATCACATGTAGCACCCTTCTCCAACACAGATTTAGAGAACCCCGAAAGTTGAATCTCATCTTTTGAAACAGTTTGAGGATTGCCTGCTTGAGTCGCGGGGAGGGGTCCAGGATCTGAAGGAGCTGTGACGCTGTCCCCTGCTGATTCTGTTGATCTCTGCTGTCTCCCCCGGCAGCCTCTGCACACAGCATACCGAAGCCAGAACCCGACATCCATGTGGACACACATTTGAGGCTCGGTTGCTACCATGCATTCAGTGAGCTGAGCATAGTTAGTTCTTGCTTACCGTGGTCTAGCTGACCTCTTTACACGTGACTTATGACCTGTTTACACGGGACCTGGAAGCCCTCTCTGACAGTAGATAATGTGAAAGACTAGATCAGTGGTGGGGAAAATTTTATAACCAGCCTCACATGCTATTTTAAAGGCATGTGTCAGTTGTGTGGGTTTGGGTTTTTTTGTTTTGTTTTTGCCTTTTTTCCACATTCTAATTTTTTAATAAAATTTTTTTCAAACAATGAATGTTGTGCTTAAATTTCCTGCTTGAGTCATAGGCACTTATTGAGCACCTGCTGTGTACAGATGCAAGAAGCCACCACCACTCCCTCCAGATCCCGAACTTTGAGCATGCCCCTGTAAGCAGAGTCCCCTGTTCAAGGTTGGGGACAGTCCTTGTGTCTAAGCCCCTGGCTGTGCCATGGCTTGTCATTAGTGGTGCAGGTCACATCTCCAGGACTGTGCTTACTGTCAGACTGCCACCTGTCATACGGGAAGACACTTCCCCCATTTCCCAGAATCAGAAAGAAGAGGCATAGTTAGTGTTGAGGCCCAAAATCTTGAGGTCCATCCACAGTGCCACATTCTGACCTTCCAAGCCCTGAGTCACAAAGGAGTTCAGATTAACTCTGGACCTTGTTACAGATTTTAGTGACATGACTAAGCTAATAACATAGCAGCAGTTGGAAGGGATGGCTTTGTGATGGCTTTGTCCTCTGAGAGACAATGTTAAGCTTTATGTTGCAGTTCTGGCAGGTGAGGGTTGCTGTGCTGGCTAACTTTACGTGCACCAACTTGACACCAGCTGTAGTCATTTTAAAAGCTGGAGCCTCAATTGAAAAAAAAATGCACCCACCGGATTTGCCGTGGGCACTTTTCTTTGTTGATGACTGATAGGGGAGAGTCCAGCTCCCTGTAGGTAGCGTCATAGTCCCTGAGCTATTGCTCCTGGGGGTTTTAACAAAGGAGGCTGAGCAAGCTAATAAGCAGCTCTCCACCATGACCTCTTTATCAGCCCGTCTCCAGATCTCTGCTCGGCTTGGATTCCCGCCCTGACTTCCTTTGGTCCTGGACCCTGATATGGAAACTTAAGCAAAATAAGCCCTTTACTCCTCAAGATGATTTCTTTGGATGTGGTGTTTTACCAAAGCAATAGAAACACTGACCAAACAACTGCCAAGGTAAACTCTAGGCCATTTACAAATGAAGATTAAAAAAAAAAAACTCATGTACAAAAGTAGGTACAATATATTTTTTTTCAAGTGAAGAAAAAAACTACTGTTGGCACTAACTACGTCACTTCTCACACTGATGGAGGTGACCCAGCATCCAGGAGCAGATGGGGACCCATCCACTCCCATCGGGCTCCATCATCCAGACGTCGTGAAAAATAAGTGGGCTGAACCTGTCAACTTTACTTCTTGTCTAACCCTTCTTGTTACACCTGAAATCAGGACTCTGAGATCCACAGTGCAGGAAAAGATAAAGCTACAAACAAGACCTGGAAGGAAGGAATGGCAAACAGCATTTTAAAAGCACTGGGTCAGATTTGCAGAAGGGGTAAAGGGGGTAGGGTAGCCAGTGGGGTGGCAAGTGACAGGATTGGCCCGGGAGTTCAGGTGCCCTAACTCCCCAAGGCCCCTCGAGTAGGATTTAATAAAGGACAGTAAACCTACAGACGGCAAAACTGAGCTCTTGCGGTTAGAAAGGCCCCAGAACCTGACTGGAGATCACCAGTCATGACCTTCACTGAATATCTGGATTTTCTGAAGCTTACTTTCTGACAGGAAAAAAAAAAAGAATCCCCAGATTATGGAATTTCAAGAGGAGGTAAAACAGCAAAAGCGATGTAAGTCAAAATTGGTTCTTAATGTAATCCCAGCTGCCAGCACAGTTTTAAACAGTATAACAAATAATTGTCAAAAAACCATCAAGTGATCTATTTGCCACATTTTTAATAAATGCAAGATTTGTTTTTCCTTTGTCCCATCCCTTGACTAAAATCTGGCTCATTGGGCAGCGGTGGGTTCAGCCTATGCATGTGATACCCAAGTCCATTTGCAGAAAGTTTCTCAAAGGGCCTTAGAAGAACATACTTCAGTCACTCTTGGAGAAAAAAAAAAAAAAAAAACCAGGTGTTCGCTACCATCACCATCATTGGGGAGGGATGGGTCTGTGTCTGAAATGTGAAGGTTTTACGATTTAGAGGCCAGCTGCCCAGTAGGAATGACAGAAAACTTGAGAGAAGCTCCTGGGGCATCAGCTACCTTGGATTCCCAAATACCGCCTCAGGCTCGGCCGTCACGCCCACACTAACTGCCAGGATTGTGCGAGCGCCACAGCACTCCCTACAGTAGCATGTTAGGAAAGTCACCCTGAGGAAACGGTCTCTGTACTGATCCTAGTCAGGTTCTGGGAACTTGCCGCGTGGCCCAAATCAGCTCCCTGGCCCCAAGTTTCCTAGCCAGCACCATTAGAAAAGTCACTTTCTGTCTTCTGTAGTCCTAACCCTGCGAGAGGATATTCCGTCTGAGAGTCCCAGCCTCTGCTGCTGCTGCTGGTGGGATTGAGGTACCTGGGAGCCAGCTCTCGTCTGTGACGGGTGAGTCATGCTTCACCTCCCTCTCAATTCCCATGAGTCAGCGCAGCCGGTGGCGGCCTGGGCACAAAGACCAGCTCTGCTCTGTAGGCCTGCTCTCAGCCTGTGGATCTGACCCCATGAAGCCGCCCGTTGGCACTATCTCTTAACACCACCTGCTGCTGCTACTCACTTGAGGCTTAACATCTACTTTCTGTGAACACTTATCCATTCGCCTTGAAGTCTCCAAATGACAGAAGAGAACCTGGAGCCTGAATCTCCCTGGCAGGGGACATAGAAGAGAGAGTGTGAGTGGACCATGGGCAGATGGGGATGGGAGCGATCAGGTTGGGGGTGAGGGGGAAATGGGGGGTTACTGAAAGAGACTACTGGAGGGTCAGGTAAAAACCTCCTGTAATTCTCCCAGGACCTGTAAGACAGGACTCCCAGCAAGAGCAGACACATAGCCTGGACTGGCCATCTCCTGTGACCAGGCAGGACTTCAAGAAGATGGAGTGGGAAACCACCCCAGCCACACAACCTCTGACCTACAGTCTGTCCTGCCCTTAGGATGTGCTCGAGTAAAGGTGGCTGGTCTAGCCTAAAACCCAAGCCAGGAGAGTGACCCCACCCCTGACACTGCCTGGAGCACTAGGACCCATGGGCTGAATAACCCGGAGACCTAGGAGAGAACCAAACACAACTGGAAGAAAAAAATGTTAACGTAATTGTTTGAATGTCATTGGCTCCCACAATCTCCTAGGCAACGGCACTAGTTAGGAGGTGTGGCCTTGTTGGAGCAGGTGTGGTCTTGTTGGAGGAAGTGTGTCACTGTGGGGCAGACTTTGAGATCTTCTTTGCTCCACCTTCACTCAGGACGACAGCTGACTTCCTGTTGCCTGTAAGTACTCTCAGCGGCAGCGCCTGCCTGCCCTGCCAGGATGGTAGTGGACTGAACCCTGAACTGTAAGCTGCCACCTCAGTTAAAGGTTTTCTTTCTTAAGACTTGCCGTGGCCATGTTGTCTCTTCACAGCAATAGAAAGAAACACTAAGATGGTAATGATGCCTAACAGTATCCTGCTGTACTCACAGATTGATGTCTAGCCCAGCTGTCATCAGAGAGGCTTCATCCAGCAACTGATGGAAACAGATGCAGAGACCCATAGCCAAACATTAGGCAGAGCTCAGGGAATCCTGCCAAAGTGGGAGAGAAGAGATTGTAGGAGCCAGAGGGGTCTGGCACACCACAAGAAAGCGCACAGAGTCAACTAACCTGGTCTTACAGGGGCCCACAGAGGCTGAACGGACAACCAGGGACCCTACATAGGACTGACCTAGGCACTCTGCATATATGTTACAGTCATGTGACTTGGCACTCTTGTGGAACTCCTGACAGTAGGAGCAGAAGCTGCCTCTGACTCTTTCACTGTTTTGGGGGACCCTTCTCATCATACTGGGTTGCCTTGCCCACCTTAACACATGGGGAGGTGCTTGGTCTTACAGGAACCTGATGTGTCATGTTTTGTTGATATCCATGGGAGGCTTGCTCTTTCCTGAACAGAAGGGAGGAGGAGTGGGTTGGGGGATGGGAAACGGGTAGGGGGTGGGAGAGGGGGCTAGGAAGAGAGGAGGGAGGGAAAACTGGCTGGATGTAAAATAAAGAAAAAAAAGAACTTGGAACTTGGACACTGACACCATTACCATTTTGAGAATGAGTGGATTGATAAGTAAACATGATGTATGATTCTTCTGGCACCAAAGATTACACATTAGACCTTCTGAATATGGTGGCTGCTCGAATGGAGGCTGCGTGAGCC